TTTTCTTTTCTTTTGAAGAGGCCAGCCACTGTGTACACAGCGATCACCTGGAGCAGTAGGCTGTGGGTTTCCTGGAAAATGAGACCACCTCCCATCCCATCGTCACGTCAATACTCCTAGCGCACCCCCTATCCCACTATCCTACCTCAGTGTGACCAGCACTCAGGAACATTACCCCACCAATGGGCAGGTAACTTGGACCGAACAGCAGTGATAGGCACCAGGGCTGATAGGTTGCCCAGCCCTGGTGGAAGCGGAATCGGACGAGCCTTGTCGAACGGGAATTTTGGACGTCAGGCCCAGACAATCTACTACAGGCCCCAAGAGACTCTGGGCCCTAGGTTTCAGACAGGGTAGCACCCATTGAAGCAGTCTTACCCCCCTAGCTTACCCAAGGCCAGGCGGAACTCAGACTGGCCTGAGCGACTTATACCCCTACCTTTACCCCAGGGTCTAAGCCTAATATATATCCACTAGACAGTTCTACCCGAATATCAGTAGGAACTCCGGTGGCCCATACCTGTCCTTACCGCAGATACTAGACCCCACCCAGTGACTAGACCCCCCCAGTCTGATAGCCGCGTAGTTCGAAATGTATGTGTATACCCGAAGGCTGTGTATGCTCCGTGTATCCATGTATGAAGATGTACAGACAGCACTATGTGTGGAAACTTGTGTATGTATCCCGTAGGCCATGTATAATTCGCAAGCTATGTATATGCCGGAAGGCTGTGTGTGCTCTGTGAATCAATGTATCGAGATGTATAGGCAGCATCATGTACATCGAAGAGAGAACAGGGTAAGCCGGACAAGGATCCCCCCAAGATCCGAGCCAAGCTCGAACCCGTGACCTTGAAACATGTAATCGTATGACTCTACCATCTGAACGGCTAGTGGGTAGTGGGTGGAAATGGCACGAACGTGTGATATGCCAGACTGGGGAGATCAACAGAACACCCAAGACCAACACCCCCAAGCAACCCATGTGAAACCCAGAACCAACATTCAACACCATGAACAACCCTTGGGTGGTGCGCAAGCAGTGTCTGTAATAGTACCATGCGTCAGCCCAAGGGAGTGTGTCCAGCCGTGCGTCAATCTAACGCCCTGCCAGGGTCCATGCGCAAGGTTGCAATTGAGTTTTGAAACCGCAACCTCATACCACAATGCGCATTTCCGGTGCTCTAACCACTGAGCCACATCAACTGGACTGACAGGAGTCTGTTTTCAAGTGGCAGTTATTCTTTTTACTGTTGGGGCTACTTCTGCCATCAGATCATTTATGATTTCTGATCCCTGTGAAGCACTGCTCCGTGATTTCTGGGCATGAGGTCTCTGTTTCTTTTCTTTTCCTGCCTTTCTCATGTTTTCTCTGCCCTTTTTTTGTCGTTTTTTTGGTTGTTGAAGGGTCCACCTGCCTTTATCAGACCACCTCCCTACCCTTCCTCTCGTCAATTCTCCTGCCGCGCACCCCTACTCCCCTTATCCTATCTCTTTTTTTTTTTTTTTT